ATAAATAAATAATATATGATAAAAATATGATCCATTCCTTCCGAAATCGCCCAAAAAATGTAAAAATAATGTAAAAAATAGAAAAATCAACCTAAAATCACCTAAAAAATATAGATAAATATTAAAATCGACCTGTTCTCACCCAAATCATCCAAAAAAACGTAAAAAATAATTATTAAAATCGACCTGTTTCCACTCAAATCACCCAAAAAAAATGTAAAAATAATTATTAAAATCGACCCAAATCGCCCAAAAAAAGTAAAAAATAATTATTAAAATCGACCTGTTCCCACCCCAAAAAAAACGTAAAGATAATTATCAAAATCGACTCAAATCGCCCAAAAAAATGTAAAAAATAATTAAAATCAACCTGTTCCCACCCAAATCACCCAAAAAAACGTAAAGATAATTATCAAAATCGACCCAAATCGCCCAAAAAAATGTAAAAAATAATTATTAAAATTGACCTGTTCCCACCCAAATCACCCAAAAAAACGTAAAGATAATTATCAAAATCGATCCAAATTGCCCAAAAAAACGTAAAAAATAATTATTAAAATCGACCCGTTCCCACCCAAATCACCCCAAAAAAATGTAAAGATAATTATTAAAATCGATCCAAATCGCCTGAAAAAAACATAAAGATAATAATAAAAAATCGACCCGTTCCCATCCAAATCATCCAAAAAAACGTAAAGATAATTATTAAAATCGACCCAAATCGTCCAAAAAAACGTAAAGATAAATATTAAAATTGACCCATTCCCACACCAATTCGCCCAAAAAAACGTAAAGATAATTATTAAAACCGATCCATTCCCACCCCAAATCGCCCAAAAATTCATCATTCACCATCGTCCATTATGGGATCGTCTTCACTTTCTTCAGCAGCGGATGAAACCTCCCTTCTGACTTCAGTATATTCCTCAGTTTCTGTTACATATTCTTCTGCAGTTGCAACTTCTGCTTTGATCTCAGTATCATAGACCGCACCAGGTTGTCCTTTATATGACCACTTTGGAGCATTATGGGGATGTGGCTGGTCATAATGCTACACATCATCATTGTATTTTCTTTTTCGTTGAATTTGAGATGATGATGTTGTAACAACACAAGGATCGAGTACCTTTCTCAATAAATTTTTCAGCTAAAAGAAGAAAATAATTAGTGGAATATATTAAATAAATTTGAAATATGCTAAATTAGATAAAAAAAATAATAAACCACAGCTGATCGCCAAGAATAGTTATATACAACGATAACTAATCTTTAACAATTTTCTTTATCTGTTTCGCTGATTTCTGGTAAATGATGGTCATTTTCTTTAAACAAATACTTTGCTGCCTTTACTCGCTAAGCTGTTTTTTAATAAATAATAAATGATATTAAATTATTGATTCAAATAAACCCAAATTCAGAATATATGCTATTTGCTTACTTCATGTACTCGATTATTATTATGAATTCGTCGCAGCTCTGAAGGGTCCTTTCTGCTTTTTTTTAATTCTTTGAGCTGTCTGACGTGACTTATGAAAGGTTTTCAGCCAGTTCGTAAGTTGATCAACAGAAGGCTGAAAATTCAGAGCTAAGGACTTTTTTAATTCTGAAATCAGATTATGACATAATGCAGCATTTTTCTCACTTATTGAAAGGTTCGTTATAGTCTAAATCATCCTTTGAGCTGACGGTTTTCAAAATCGCCTTCATTTTGGCCTAAATACAAAAAGCAGGAAAAAAATCAGCTAAAAATTTAAATTATTTAGACATAAATTCAAACATACCCTAGCTCCTTTTATATTAGCCTCTTCTGTTATCAAATTATCATTGTCCTTAAAATTGTTTTGTGTTGATTCTTCCAATTTATCATCAGTACAATACACTGGCTTTTTTCCCTTTGATTTTGATAACGATTTTCTGATTTTTCTTCGTTTTGCAGGAGGACTGGCATCAGACTGCTTCAATGATCTTGGCAGTCATAATTTCTCAAATCGGTCAAGTCTTAAATATTAAAAAGAAAAATTAGTTATTGTAAATATAGGATATTAATGTATGAATTTTTATTCTTTCTGTAAATCTTCATTTTTCTTGCTGAATTCATCATTTATTTCAGCAAGAAATCAGTTTTCCCTCAAAAGATCAGAATTTTATTACTCTAATTTCTCGATTCTCTTAGTAAATTCAGCAAGTTTTTCTTTTAATATTTGATTCTCTATATAGGAATAAAGAAAATATATTGTTAATTATAAAATAATAAATGAAAATAAATTAAAAATAATATACCTGATTCTAAATCGTTCAAATTATCAAAAATCTCAAATTCAGTTACAGCTGAAGTACTTGCCGTTGGTTGTCATTGAAATTTTGATGGAAGCTGAATTTCCCTATATCATCTTTACATTTCTTCTAAATCTACGTCTATAATTTGAAAAGTTATTTAGTATTAATATAAATATAGTATTATATTATGACTAACTTACAATCTAAAATAACCAGTTCATTCTCAAATGATATTGTATGAACTCATTTTTATTTTTTTTTCTATTATAGAAAAGCAAAAAAATCAGTTAATATTTGAAAAATCGGCTGGTTGATTGATAAAATTCAACTTACATTCTGGCTTTTCATTGGTCAATTTTTTTCATTGGGGCATTTTGTTAGTATTTCTGTTGATTGAGATTCTATTATAGAAAAGCAAAAAAATCAATTAACATTTAAAAATCGGCTGGTTGATTAATAAAATTCAACTTACGTTCAGGCTCTTTATCAGTCGATTTTTTTTGTTAGAGGCGTTTTGTTAGTGTTGCTGTTGATTGAGATTCTATTATAGAAAAGCAAAAAAATCAATTAACATTTAAAAAATCGGCTGGTTGATTGATAAAATTCAACTTACGTTCTGGTTCTTCATCAGTCAATTTTTTTGTTAGAAGCGTTTTGTTAGTATTGCTGGCGACTGAGGTTTTATTATAGAAAAGCAAAAAAATCAATTAACATTTGAAAAATCGGCTGATTAATTGATAAAATTTAACTTATGTTCTTATTGTTTTTGTGATGATTTTTTTGTTTGGTATTTCAACTGGTGTATTGTTAAAAGTAAAGACAAGGTCAGATAAGGGAATGTTGTTCAATATTAGGGTAAGAGGATAAGCATTATATCCAGCTTTGGCCAATTAGTCAGCGATATCATTGAAGTGATCACCAGTATGTGCTTTAACTTTATGAAAATGTATATTAAGATTTAATGTATCTACTGTATGTTTAATAAGGTATTAGATGGAGTGGTTGGGTATCTTTTCAAATTTTCTGGCTGAAAGATTACTGTTTGACACATATTTAGAGAATCTGTGAATTGTAGCTTGACTGTTTAAAAATATATTGATGGAGGAAGAGTGTGGTAATACTAACAGAGCGAGTATTATTTGTAAAGCTTTGAACTTAGTTAGAGTTGAAGAAAGAAGAAACATCATGTCAAATAGATTGGTTGAGGGGGAACAGGAAGTTGTTGTTCAAAATAAGAGGCAAAATAAGAGAGGTAAGCCACCCTTGATATTTCATCAGACAACTGTTTTAGTTGATTTTTAAGGGTGTAAGATTGTTTATGAATCAAATCAACTTCGAACGTTTGCAGAAAAAAGGTTGCATCCAGTACATTTAAAAAGTTAACTGATATTATCATTGTTTGTAAAGCATACAAAATATTGATAGACAAATTGATTGTCAGTCAGGTTCTTGTTGATGATTTAACCAAATGAAGGGGTGTTGATGATTGGATAATCTAACTACAGATCCATATCAGGGCAAGGGAAAAACTAATCTAAATTCTGGTTTGAGGAGTCATCGAATACTATCTTCTAAAACAATGTCTACTAGTTTCTTGAAGAAAGTCTGTGATCTGAAGTTATTAGAGTGGTGATTAAAATTTCTAAATAGGAAATCAGCTTTTGTAATTAGCTGGTAACCAAAAGTTGAAATTAATTGTTCTAAATAGATTAAATTGTGATTAGTCAAGATTCTTTTGAAAGAAATGAAAATTATATAAGAAAAGAGTTTTGTGATAGAGTAAGTTTCTCCTTTGATTTAGTTGGTAAGAAGAGAAGAAGCAGTAAGTGAAAGCTTAGAGGATGTAGATTTGATTAGTGAAAGGGAAGCGCCAATTAGGTTCTTATAAGAAAGCCTATCAAATGGGCAGGACCAAAAATTGAGGGGGAGGTGGGGAGACAATGTTAAGATTGGAGTTGAAAAAGTCTTATAGTAGAGATGTACTTATAGGTGGTAAAATTGGTGAATTAGTATAAAAGGGCAGTAGTGAGAGACTTAATTTATAATGACCAGAGATCATTCAAATTGTAAAATTGTTTGAAGTTCAAAAGAACATTAGGGAGAGTAGAAACGAATTTATTCTTTTGCCTGAATAGAGAGTGAACAGATGCAAAAAGTGAAAGATATTCATTTTGTGACAAGGGCGTTAGTTACATACAGTATTCCAGTAAAGGACATAGCATCAGGTTTATGATGTAAGAGATCTGTCTATCGGTTAGAGGCTTGTAATGCATCAAAGAAATGAAATGATTGATGTCGAAGGCAAGTTGTTTTTTAACGAAAGTTGATGAGCGATTGCTATTAATCCAGACTCCAAAGAAGCGTACAGATCTAGTTTCTGGTTCAATATTGATTATAGATGAACTGAATTTAAGAGAGATTGTTTTGGTATTGGAAGATTTAGTCGTTAATAGTTTGGATTTGTTCTTATTAAGTGCTGATCTAGTGAAATCATAGAATTTTTCAGCAACTTCAAGAATAGATTCCAAATCCTGTTTTGAACTGGCAATTCAGTTTGTATCGTTTATAAAGATGAGTGAAGAAACACTAGTAGATAGAGAACTGGTAGCCATAGTAGTTAAGTCAGAAGTCCAAGTATAGCTGATATTGTATCCTTTATTTAGAGAAGCGACTTTACAAAGGAGAGGATCTAAATAGATACACCAAAGCAAGGGTGATATAACTTCTCTTTAATCAATACCAATTTTAATGTTATAGTAATCTGAAGTTTCATGTGCAGTAAAAATAGCATTTTTTCTTGCAGTGAAAAGATTAATTAGAAGATCAATAGCAGATTGTGAAATTTTGATGTGGTTAAGGACGAGACGAAGAAACTTTAAGTCTACTCTATCATAGGCTTTAAAGAGATCTTGAAGTAAAATTCAAATTTCTTTTTTGTTTTTGATTACATCTTTAAGCAACATATTAACAATTTTGATAGGTGTCTCATTGATTCACCAGTTAGACCAGCAAAATTTCTACTTCTCAGTATATTATGTTTAACAAGTAGAGTGGAGAGTCTGTTGGTAATAATTTTGACAAAACCCTTCTGACAAGTTTCCAATAAGGTGATAGGTCTAGTTTTTGTTATGTCACATTCTCAGTCCATAGGCTTTAGGATAGGGTAGATGTGAGCGATCTTCCATTCATTTGATACATCACCTAAAGTGAAACACATACAGATGAGTTTCCAGAGTAACTGTTAGAATTTATCACCTAGGTGAAAAAGCATATCGTTTGAAATTCCTGAAGGACCAGCAGCTTTGTTATTAGGGAGAGATTTGAGGATAGCAATCCATTCGTCATAAGTGAGCGGTTGCATTAAATTAGAGTAATGTGATTCATTTACGTAATCTCTAAGATTGAATTAGTCAATTCATCTGAAAGACATTGGTGGTGCAGATGAGGGGGGAAGAGCAAAGTTTTGGAAATGATTGATAGTAGTGCTTTTGATATCATCAGGGTCAATTGTAAAATGATTTGTAGAGGTATTCTTATCCTTAATGAGTAAGCGATCTAATACAATAGAATGCTTTTTTCTATTTAAAATTGAATCAATCATTTTGGAAGGGTCATTTTGAAGGTTGTCACATCTTTTGTCTATGAAGGTTTTGATTGCTTTTTCTTGATACGTTGAACATCAATTTGAGCGAGAGCAGAGAGTGATTTGTAAATATTCTTGAGCTGTTTTTTGATGTTACAGACATTTGAAGCTTCTAAAGAGAGAGGAAAAGTGACAGTGAGAAGTTTAGCCTCTAGGACTAATTTGTTCACAGCTGATTTGATAGCTTGCCAGTCATTTACATTAGGCTAAATTTGTTGTTGAATGAAAGTATCTTTAAATTTCAAAAGGAAGGAGGCCAATTTGCGGGCTCTGATGAGAGAGTCAGGTTGATCGAAGGAATGTTTATGATATTATTGAGGAGAAATCCATATTTAAAGAATGCAACTGCGATTTGCTGTAAGAATAGTAGTCTTTATTTGAATCCAAAGTATGTTCATATTTGTTATGTTATTGGAGAGGTTATTAAAATGATCAAAATTATGATAGCGATAATGAAGGTCAGTATGCACAGCAAATTCAGTCCATTTAGCATTGTTCATTACTTTTAGGTTAGGAATCTGCCTTTTGTTTTGTAGATTACGAGATTTGGCAGATTGCTGTTTACGAAAGTCAGAGAAAGAGGCAAAGATGATTTTGTGGTTAGAAAAATATACAGTGGCTGACAAAAGAAACGCAACAACTTATTTTTAGCTTTAAATGCTTATAACTTATTAACTACAAATG